GCGGGTCGCCTTCATCTGGTGAAGCAACATAGGGCATTCGAACGCCCACGCCGCCTCGCGTGCGTTGAGCGTCTGGAGGCGTTCCAGCACAGGCCCCAGCCACAGCAGCCATGAAGAGTCAAGCTTCACGCGCAGGTCGAACTCCCCCACCTCGCGAGGCGCCCCTCGTTCCCGCGGGCGCATCAGCAGGCCCCAGAAGCGACTGCAAACACAGGGCCTCGCTATATCCCCAGGGCGCAGCCTGAAAAAGGACGAAGGTCGAAGGCAAACAGAAACCGCCAGAGCCCGGAACACGCCATCATTCGTTGATCACGCAAGACCAGGCCATGAATAAGGGCGCGCCATATCATCAAGGGCTCGGGCATCCTGGATCGGCCAGGCGCCACACGCCCCCCGCCCATCAGCGCCCCCCACACCCGCGGCGGAGAGCTCGCACCCAGCCGCCCGTACTTCGGATGGAAGTGGTACCCGGCCACCGCCACGCGCACGCCCGTCGAGACCTGCTCGCCCCGCAGGCAGAGGGAGGCGAAGTAGCGCACCAGGCAGGCGCCCATCGTCTCCGACAGCATCTCGAAGAAGCCCTGGCGGCAACACCTCTCATTCAGCTGCTCCAATACTCTCTGGTGATGAGCCATCACACTGGGCGCCACGGTGCTCGACTCGAGGTAGCGGTCGATCGGCGCGCCGTTCTCGACCGCCCGAGAGACTGCTGAGTGGTGTCGCCTGACTCGCCAGCGTCCACTGCCGTTTGGCGGCGATGGCGGCCTCTGATTCGCTGGTAGCGCCGCTCGCGTTCTGTACTGCTGACCGTGCCCGCTTTCCAGCGACGCGCCTGCGGGCGCGTGCAGGCCGCGGCCCCCGGCTGCCCCCAGGCTCCGAGCCGCCGATCCTCCTGCTGGCGCCCCGCCCTGCAGCGTCGGAGGCATGGTTGATGGCATCCTGCAGCTGGCCTCTGTCGGCAGCTGCCGGGTTAGCACCCTCGTTCACGGGGCTGCAGCCGGATTTTCTCTGCCGCGCGCTCCTGCAAGGGCGCGGGCGCAGCTGGGCAATGCCGCGCGCGTCACGATCAGCTCTGGCCAGTACGCCAACGGAACCAGAGCCCGACATAGACGAATCACTGTAGTTCGACCGAAACTCACGCTCCAAGTCACGCGAAATCTTCTCAACGGGCATCACAGGATTCAAATCAGACTCAAGTTCTCCGCGCCGACAGCTCATAGGGTTCAAAGCGCGCGCGCAGACACGGGGGGGGCTAAAAAGACAGACTGCCCCGAACTATCCTCGACCTCGGATCAAGGAACAGGAGGGGGGGGGCAGGCAAGGGGGCGGGGATCAGACGTGCGAGGATCTTCGAGGGCGCTCCACCATGGGCCCGCGATCCCTCATCACTGTCGTTGAAGCCGCGTGGGGTCCAACGGACAACGGCCCTCAAATTGCGACTCAAAAGACATGATTGCACCTTGCGCATACGCCGCGGGATCGCGAAGCTTTCACACCTACTTCCAGCGAGAGCCAGGGCCACCCCTTGGTTATCGACCAACAAAACTTGCCTGGCGTTGAAGCCGAAACGGGCCAAAGCAATGCGTTCGAGCGACAGCAGGAGCGCTCGAGATATCTAGCATCCCAATATGCTCACGGTACTTCCAGGCCCCTCGCCCAGCGTCTCGCCAGAGTTGATGCGAGATCACGGGGCACCTCACAGAAATGCGGGTCCATCTCGTAATTCCCCGTGGGCAAAATGGATTCGGCGAAAAGCCCCCCCCCCCCTCGCCAACGCAAAGCGTTACCTCCCCCCCTTCGCCGCCACGAAGTTCCCGAGACCCGTCGCGGCAAGGGCAGAAAAAAAAAGGCTTCGACCCCCATCTCCGCCCTGAACCGCCTCCTCTCACGACAACGGCCCACGACGTCGAGGGACTCCCCAGAAGCTCCCTGAAATCCCGCATCCGACCTCCCTAGCATCCGAGCACTGGACCCATCGGTTGCAAGGCAGCCACCAATCTGAGACGATCATCGGCAGGAGACCACGGAATGTCAACTACACCCCACGGCAACTCTTCCAAAGCGGCGCTGACTCTTTATGCATTTTTGTAACGAACCGATAGCATGCATGAAGTACAGACAGCACTGGACGGCGCACCAGGCCTAGATATGTGCAGGGCCCCAGCAGAATGCGAAGGTCATCACCTCGGACCGCTCGCAGCTGCAGCACCCCGACGAGCGCCTGTCGCACCCCCCAGAGTCTCTCGAGCGAAGGCCGCGTCTGGAGCCTCTGCCCATCCAGCACAACGCCGAGCACATCGATCCCGTCGCTGCGAACCTCGCGCCCGTGCGCCTTGAGGTCTACCGCTTCGAAAGCCTGCGCGAGCGTGTCCAAGCCGTTACTGACGCGCTCCCCGTTCTGGCCGATAACCCCACGTTGTCCACGTAGACGCAGTGCTCTACCTGCCCTGACCCGCAGGTAATAGCACCAGCGGCCCCCCCAGATCGCTCACGGGCGCGCCGTCGCGGAGCCCCGAGGCGAACCGGCAGCGCAGCTCGGTCACGCCCTGGCACAGGCATAGGCCCCACGTGCAGCCCATCGGCAACGCCTCAGGGATCGGGTAGATCAAATCGTCGAACTTCAGCAAGTGCCCCTCAAGCTCGGCGCCGCGGAGCCCCACGTCGCCTGCCTCGAAAGCTGGCAGCCCGAACAGGCGCATCATCCATGGCGGAAGGCGCACGCGGCGGAACGCGCCCTTCACGTCCGCCACCCCGACCGAGAACTCCACGTCCTCCAGCGCAGCCATCAAGGCAGCCCACAGGCGGTCCCCGGCGCCCCCCACCCCCTCGAGCTCAAAGGCCGAGAGTCCTTCGGCCGTCAGAAACTGCACTGAAGGCCTGAAGGCGGCTCTATCAGCCATGCATTGCTTCGTCGGCAGTCAAGAACCTGGGCGTCTTCTCTCTCCCCTTCTCACAGACAAAGAAGTCGCCCACCATCTCCAAGACCCGGCGAGCGAACGACGCCAGCCCACGCTTCACAAGGTCCATCAAAAATCGCTGCACCTACGCCAGCTCCGCAACAGCGCCGGCGCGCTGAAAGGTGCCCGTGGACATCGCTCCAGCGCCTCACGCGCACCAACACGGTCTCGCAGCACGCGCTCGCCTTGCCCCTTACACGCACTGGCGCGCTCGCCCCCGAAGAAGGCTGCGACGCGCGCGCGCCTCATCAATGCTGTCGGGAAGCGACGGATCCCCCGGTCAGCAAGGCGCGAACACGTCCACGGGGGGGCCACCAAGGTAAGGCGACCTCCCACGCATCAACCCCCGTAGGGCTGAATGCGGAGGCCGCAGCTCCCCGCCCCGCATCGGCTGCAAAATGTCGACCACCTGCCCTTCGATGCGCTGCGCGACGTCGAGCTGCGCGCCCGACGGGAACGCCGTAGAAGACCCCGCGGATGCGCCCGCCAGCCAGGTGAGGCTGTCTATCGCCTCGCTCGCTAGTACATCATGAAGTCGCCGCCTGCGGTCGCGCCCACCGCGGTGACCTGACCTCTTCTGCATCAAGTTCTCCTCCTTCCGCGGAGGCGGGAAGATATCGCGAGCTCTGCTCCTGGGCGGCATCCCAGGTAGCCCCGGGCAATCGACGCCGCTGGTCGGGCCAGCTCCAGCGGCGGAGCCCTGCTGCATCATCATCGGGCGCCCCCCGACGCGTCCGCGTCGGAAGGCTTCGCGGGGTTCTTCGGCTTCCTCGACAGGGCGGGGTCGCTCTCATCACCCTCGCCGTCGCCCTTGTTCCTGTCGGCCCCGCTGAGGCCGCGCGCCCGCGCGCCGAGAAACTCGGCGCCCCGCTCGGCTCCGTTGGCCCCGAAGCTACGCAGCCCAGGAGCCGCCGCATCTCTGGGCCCCGTCTCGCCCGCGAGGCACCGCGCCATACGCCAGTTGGCTGCGGCTCCTGGCACAGAATGTGCGCCCGTGATCACTTGAATCCGTAGCGCCAATCGCTCCATCGAACGTAGCCTGTTGATCGTAGCTCCCAGCCAGCTGCAGGGCGCGGCACGAGACCTCCAGCTCGTGGCATAGGCGACCCTGCCGCTCCACTCGATGTTCACGAGTCCATGGGATCGCCGCCACTTCGGCACATGGCATTCGCAAGGTACACCACGGAGACGGGGCCCTCGATCGGGTCGTCCGCGAACAACTCTGCAGTGATCTCGCTGATAACGCTCCGCAACTCCTTGCGTCTCTCGCCGTCCCCATCATAGTCCACGGCCAACGTGCGGACGTCATCCACCGAATTCGCCCCCTTGTGACCTCCTGCGTCGTCGCCAGCGCCGTCGGCACCGGTAGCCTCCAGGCCCGGGCGCCTCTTGACGTCGTCCTCTGCAGCGACGTCCAGGCGCGGGTCTCAGCCCCGAGGGCTCGCTGCAGCCGAGCGATCTGCTCGCTGGCTCGCCGAGGGGCGCCAGCCACCGCCACGCGCATCACACGGCACACCTCCGAGTCGAAGATCTTAAGGCCTTGGGTCCCCGCGATGAAGTCCCTGGGCATCATCTTCACCTCCTCTCGCAGCGCAAAGCCTCCGCCAGGCTCCATCAGCATCCAGATCGTCTCCTCGGGAAGCACAACAGAAAAAGCAGCAAGAGGCTCCTCGCGCCCACGAAGCATTTCGGCCAGTACCTGCCGACGGCCTTCATCACTTAAAGCGAAGCCAGGCCAATCACTATCGATTTGCCCGCGCACCGCCTCAATGTCGCGACATCCTCCAGCCAGCCGCAGCACCTGCTCCAGCGAAGGTTTCTCTCGAAACCTGTAGAAGCGGCGTGCCCCCAGAGGAGGGCACCCCGCGTCTGGCAGCGGGCGCGTTCCGCTGGGTCCGACATCGGGCTCGTTGCCGTCAAGCTTCTCCTTCCACAAACCGCCGTCGGGCGACAGCACCCACCACACAGACTCGTCCAACGCCGGGCCGTCTGCGTCGGCGCGGAGAGGAGGCCAGACCAACACTCTCTCGTGGTCCACCGCGT